AGAATTTGACATTCTAAATATAAGATTTGTTTCCACAATTTTATTTTCATAAAATTGCTATAAATTTTAAATAATACGAGACACCCCATGATCTGTTGGTTCATTGTTTCAGAGATATTTCCATATCTAAACAGAACGACCAAGGTCAAAAACTCTGGGAGTGGGAGCGACTTTTCACTTCCTGCCAGTTTGACAGCGGCTGACTGCTCTCCAGCAGTTGATGATGGGATTGGTCTACCTGCTATCTGGAGGGCTAGGGAAGGACCGTTCTGCTTCATCTCCAGTGGCCAAAGGAAGAATTGACTTAATTAGCCAGCGAGAGGGCTAGGGTGCAACTGGTCTACCGAACCTCCAGGTGGCGGCATAGCAGCAACAAATTTGCCAAATCTCAATCATGTGGAAATCATTTCAGATTTATACCCATTTTGTAATTTAGCCCCTTGAGCCCATGATTCAACAAGTGCTGCTCTGTGATACATAATTTTGCCCAGTTGAAGTTATAAAACACGAGAATTTTAATAGTATATATATATATAATTTACATTTTGTTAGGATATTTCTAAGGTACATGATTGGCATGTTAGAGCAAGGCATCACATTGTTCAGTTTTGCCTGTAGGAAATAAATACATAAATATATTCCTGAAAATCTCCTGCTGCTAATTCTGGAAGATGTTGGTGCAGAGTTCACCAACCTAGTGGTTTCCAGATATACATTATAGCTCCTATTGCCCCTGCCACCTAAATGTTAGTGCTTACTGGCCAGAAGTGTAGTAGGCACTGATTGTGGAAAGCTGTTGTGATTACTCTTAAAAACAAATGCTTCAAGCTATAAAAGCTTGACAAAGCTGTGTTAATTGCTTTGAAACAACCCAAAAGTACAGACTCCTTTAAATAGTGTTTGCAGAGCTATTATTGCATCTCTTTTGGCGGCCATTAATGAAAAGATTGGTGATACCTATCTCAAAATGGCTGACATAAAATCTGAAACTGCAATAATCGTGAATTTAATGGATATACTGTTTGAATAGAGGATACTTTAGTGTTAGAATTAAAGACATACAGTAGCAGTCAACTAAATCTGTGCTTCTAAGCTATAAAATCCCCATTTGTCAAATGTGTATCCTTGTGTATTTGTTTCCCCTCTTTGAGTTTAGGAAGCTAAGAATTCCATATAGACAGTTTTTCAGCTGATTTTTATTATAATTTATCATTTCTTATCTCTAAGTTTAACTTTGCTTTATTAACTTCCAGATTGTAACATTAAAATGCCATACTACATATTAGAATGCATAATTTAGGGTCTTTTCTAAAAAAAAAAAAACCTGTTCTGCTTCAAACTTGGTAGTTTTTTCTCATTATATCCTATTAAAATATTTTTAAAGTGCTGTAAATTCCAATTGTATCTCCCTTTGCTTATAGTTATTAAGATTCATTTTATAGGTTATTATTTGAGGGGCATGAGAAAAATGTTTTACACATTATATTTTATGTTGCACCTTCAACTTACATGCCACATCTTTCTTTTATATTTTGACTGCTTCTTAGTAGTGTGCTTTATTTCAGGGAAATACTGTACTATATAATCTCTGCTAGCCAAAGAATGCTCATATGTACATTTCAGGCAAGGGAATTTTATCTCAATTCACTTTTCTCTGCACCATATTGTCATGTATAAAAAAAATATTTCTCAGGCATTTCTTTCCGTAACTTTCCATAACAAAGATCCTGTTTGACATTAACTTCTGATGCACCCCACTCTGCACTGTTCCTTCAATCTATTAGCTTATTCTCATGGTCCACATTATTAAAAAAAAGGCTGGATTTAATAGATCAACTGTAAACTTTTGTCCTGATGATTAGAATCTGGAATCATCTAGGCTAATAGTAGATTTTATTTTGTTACTACAAGCTGCTGAATACAAGTCTCTCAAATAGCCTTATGTCAGGTAGAGATTTATAGATCATAATGAGCACTTGAATCATATCTGGAAGCACACTGGCAACAAGTGCAACAAGGGGTGTCAGATGGACCTGCCAAAGGATGCATTTGCAGTTACGATCATCACATTGCATCCCTATGATGATGTGATTGCAGTTTGGGTGCTTGGCAACTGCTTTGTGTTTACAGCTGGTTACAGCATCCCGAAGTCATGGGACCGCGGTTTATAAATTTTTGCCAATTTTCAACAAAAACATCCACTTGGGAAGCTGGATTTACTTAATGTCAATGTGGGTTGTTGAACGACCATGTGATTAGCTTAGCAACCATGGTGATTTGCTTAATAACCATTATAAAAACAGTCAAACAGGTCTAATTCGACTTATGCTGCAATAACGTAAAACAGAAATTTTTCGTCCCAATTGAGGACGACTAGTAAATGTAGAAAATCTAGAAAATGTTATCTTCCCAATCATTCATTTAACAGTACCCTAGAACCCAGACAAGCTACAAAGCTTGTGCTCCAGTGATAGTTTTTTAATTTACTTTTCAATTTTAAGTCCAATATCCATTCCTCTTACCTGGAAAAATTTTCTTTTCTTGGACCTCTGAAATAACGTAAGTTTTCCCAGGATCCAACAGGCTAGGGACACCATGGAGACATTTTATCTATTGGTTGCTTCCTCACATAAGATCATTTTAATGCATGGAGAAGACAAACAATCACACACCTTTAGATGTGTAATGGTAACTGATTGCAGTGTCTCTTTGTTTGTTAAAACTCCTTCCTTATCTTTCTGCATCAGAGAATTTCGTAAATAGAACAAATCTGCTTCCGCACTATTTGTGCGTCCCTTCCATTTCAGCCAATTAGTTGATTTTGTCTGAAGCTTTTAACTGGCAGAACTTTGATCCTCCATATATCTTCATATATCTCTCTACAAAGGGAAGAGTATCATCAATTTTGCAAGAGAAACAAACTGACCACAAAGATGTTGGGACAGACTAGCCATCAGTTTGAAGAAAATCGTCTGTCCAGAGAGGATTGTAGCTACTAGGTCTTCACTTTTTGCTATGACTAAACAGTTTGGTGGTTGGAAAGCATGTTTACTACTGAAGACGATACAGATTGCATATGCAATGCGTATCAAAGCCTAATATATTTATCAGTTTACAGTAAACAAGATGTCAACTATTTATGCAGTGCTACATGTCATCTTAAGTATATTTATTCCATCTGCTAATCTACTGGTAATCATTGTCGTCTGTCGGTTGAAGAAGAAGAGATCAAGCGGAAATTATGTCTTCATCCTCAACTTGGCAGCTGCTGATCTACTTGTGGGTGTGATGTGCATTGGGGACGCCTTGGATGATGCAACAGATGCACTGTTTGATACAAATTTGGTTTTTTGTCTTATAAGGATCTGCATGGGTATTACTCCTTGTTTTGGTTCTATTCTCACCTTACTCCTGGTTTCTCTGGACAAGTATTTGGCAGTGAAACTGCCGCTTCATTATCCCTCCCTTATGAGCAAGAAACGTGTAATCCTTTCTCTTGTAGTCCTCTGGGTTATCTCCTTTTTGGTAGGACACTTGCCACTTATTTTTTCAGGATTGCGGGAGAACAAATTGAAAGGTAACTGTGGGCTCCTGTCTGCTGCCAAAAGTGATTACCTCTACATAATCTGTTTTGGTGTTTTCATCCCTGCATTGTTGACCTTGGTGTATTTGCATATCTCAGTAGGAAGGATTGCCTATCTACAGCATAAGCAGATCCAGCGCTCTTGCCTGCATGCAGATATCCCCTCTGCTCATGTCTGTTACTTCAAAGCTCTAAGGACTATCATTGTGATTGTTTGCTTCATTGTATTTTGGGGCCCTTATTATGGGACTGCTATTGTGAAAGCTACCTGTAAATCCTGCAATTTGAGCCCATTGTTGAGGGATTTTTTATTCCTTCTAGGAGAAACCAATTCACTGATAAACCCATTTGTGTATTCACTGTACCACAAAGATATAAGGACTGAGTTTGCTAAGCTGATGAAATGTAAGAGAAAAGGTCAAATAAAGCCATGTAAGTCTATTGATTTAGCAGTGGCCAATTCTAACTTTGGGATATGGAATGATTTATAAAATGGAATTAATCTGATCTAATTACTGCCTCTTCTCCCTTCAACAGTTTTTCAGATTATAGAACAGTATGTTGTTCAATCTACAGTGCAGAAAACTAGATAAGTACAGCTCTGATTAAGAGAGGCTTTCCTCCTCCATAATTTGGTTATTTGAAAATAATCAAAGATAGGTAAACTAATAAGTAAGTATTGATGTAGTTTACCTGATGAAGTATTTTAAAATTGAGAATGCAGTAGTAAATCTATTTGTTTTCATGTGGTTTTTTTGGAAACTACTGGTAATAGTCATAAATTGCATAATTGCTCCCAGTGTATTTTTGAATATGGTTTAAAGGATTGACATCTATGTTCAGTTTTTTTTTAAATTAAATCTGCAAACACCTGAAGTAGGTATGTATTTAAATCCCTTTCTTTAAAATGAGTTAAAAGCTCAATAGTCATTTTTTTTCTCTTAATTAAGATTGTTTAATTTCAGAACAGTTCCAACAAGAATAAATTCAAATTACTTGAATATCCCTGGATCTCACTTAAACCTTGAATTTGTGAACTAGTCCATGAGCAAAAAAAGTAGCTTTTCAGCCTTAACCACTCTTGGCATATGAAAATCAAGACTTCTATGAGAACTTTTCTGTAGTACTTTGTTTAGAAAACATGATGCATTAATTAAGTTACACACCAATTAGCGCCTCTGAAATGTAGCATTAACTGTGAGACAATTTATCCATTTCTGTGATTGTGAATTCTCTTCTATACGAGGTCCATTTACACTATCTGGTTCTGCTTATTTAGGTCTACTACTTCAGAAAACATTTAGGACAAGTTTATTACTTGATAGGCATATTTTGGAGTGAACTTTTTCATTGTTGTGTCCTTTGCTATTTTATGTTTTCATTCATATAATTTGCTTTTGAGCAGTTTTTAAGTATATATATAGATGATAAAATAAACTAGGATGAAAAAGAGCCTCTGCAAATTACACTTAGATAAAATATTGAACTTCACATACTAGTGTGTCCTACTCAAAAATAAATCACATTGATTTAAATTAAGTTTACATCTAGGGAAGCATCCATAGGAATATAAAGTATTTATTTTGATGCATAATTTTACTTTTGTAGTGCTTTACTAATATAGATTTCTTGGTAGAGTTGATGAAAAGAAATGGAAAATAAGTAACGGCCATCCCAGCTTCCCTTTTAATTATATGTCCTACCACTTTTGCTGCTGTTTTACCATATTACTCAATTTCATTGTTTTAATTCCTATCTGCTCCTTGGAGGGTATAATTTATTATAAACATCTGTTTCTAATAGTCCATTAACTCATAAAAGGAAAAGGAGAGATCAGAAGATAAACAAGAATTCACATACCATTTTTGTCTAAAAATTGGTTTGTAAGACAATGCCTTGATTGAATGACAGTAATAGCAATAGAAAGTGCTTCTATAAAATCATCTATAAAATTGAGAAATCATCACTACATATACACATAAATGGAATTTACCTATGCTAATAGAACTATTACAAGTCATGAAATAGGGGTCAAGTGATCGTGAATAATTTTATTGCACATGAACATTGCACATGCTCATTATTTTGAGATTCTGGAATGATCTAACTGCTGCTTAAGAGTATTTCCTTTTTATGATAATAAGTATTCTACGGTTTGGAAAATATCAGCACCAGCATTGTATATGGAAAGTTTTATTCTCTGCCCCTGGAACATACTTCCTAGAAAATAGTTTTCTCCAAGTGTAGTAGATAAAACTTTGTTAATATATCAAGACTAGGTTTGTTTATCAACAAGACAACATTGTTAATATAAAGGATACCTTTTTCTCCTCTATTGCTTTTACACTTAATAAAGATGCATTAGGTATTTTCCCTAAAGATGGAGATGAATCTGAGTAACAACTGGATGATTTGATTTCAGACAGTGGGAACAACAAATCTTTTCCAGCAGCTTTTACAAAACTTGGATGTAATCTGAAAACATGACAGTGGCTGGTAAAATCTAATTCCATCCAGATTGTAACTAAATGCAAGCCAGTGGCTTGAGCATCCTCTTCCTCAGCCCACCCATTCTGTTTTATTTACTATCTTGCTTAAAGAGGTGTGGAGAAATAAAAACTACAGATGAATTATGTAAGTTAGTATAAGTATGGCCTTTAAAAGCTTATGATTTTTTTAACCATAGCAAAATGAATCTAGAGTTTTATGAATAGTTATTGAATCCTATGGCATATAATTCAATTTTCTTATTGAAGTTTGCTTCATATTTATATTTTCTAATGCGACATAGAACATTCAAGAAGATACCCATATATAGTATATTTTATGAATACATAAATATAATACAAATAAATTTTCTTACGGAATTCAACAGATGAATAAATATTAAATATTTTAAACAAGAAAGTGACTTAAGACTCTTCAGTCAACATCAATCAACTATCAGCTGTTGATTAAACTGGTGATTTTACTATTGCCATTATTAACTTATCCAGAGAACAGCCTATTTCACATTCTTTACAAAGATGTATTAACTTCGAAGTCTGTTTCAAAAGAAATGAAGGGAGCTGCAGTTTAGTCCACCAGTCACTGGCAGGAAAGTCTAAATATCTATTCAGTTTAGCAAAGATGCGAAGAATTTTTAATCTATTGGCGAAGAGCAGAAGGTCATCTTCAGCTACGTACTTTGGCCATGGAAGGTGTTCAGCAAGTGGCTTTAAGAAAAAAAAAGTTAATTCAGTCAGCATAGGAATGAAAGTAATGTTGCAATTAATTTAAATTAGATAAAATGGCTATATAGATTACGTTGGAAAACTTGATCAATTTTGAATAAAACTTTAGTTTTTGTATTTCTCTAAAGATTTTCTGTTCTCCACACAACATTCCATGCCTTGCTTAATTGTAACTTGTAAGGATAGATAAACATTAATTCCTCTGACATGTACCTGCACTTTGGTTCCTACATTGATTTTTGCTTGTTTTCCCATTGCAAGAAAAGAAATGGCAATTTTATCTTGCCCGAGTATCCTGACACCAACATTAAGGTTCAAGGACAGAAAGATAGGTTTAAATGATACACGGGGATTGTGCTTCTGTAAATTGTTGGGCCAAATCCATTTTTTTACTTTGTTGCCAGCCTGATCTGAGTAATGTCCTCCTCGAATTGTAATGTTTATCCTACAAGGAAGAAAAATAAACTGACTGTATATTTGAACCACAAATCTTAACATATCCTATATAAAAATTACGAAGACAGGCTCAGCTCAGTTATGATCTATCTGATTCATTTGCCTCATCATTCCAAGCAAATACATAAAAAAGGACCTGTAATGTGTAGTAGTTTCCAGAATGGCAACTAAGTTAGCCCATTATAATAAAAAGAGGGATGCTTTTATTTGTTAAAACATAAGCTGCTTACAAATATTTAGTTGATAATAAGTATGGAGTTTAAATAAACATGTAAATTATAAGCTAAGTTTAGTGGACAATAAAATGCAAGATACCGAGAATGTGACCATTTACAAAAACAATTGTAATTAACACAAATCATGCTAAGTAATATTGCTAAACCATGGTTTATGCATTGGCATGAGAAGACTGAATTAACATGTCTTCTCTGTCAATAGCAGGCAGGGGTGTCAAATTCATGGCCCGTGGGCCAGATGCGTCACGTGCTGGCCCCGCCCCTGCCCGGTTTAGCAAAGGGGATGATGATGCTGTGACAATGTGAGTTTGACACCCCTGCAGCAAAGCAACATGATGTTAGCAACCACACTTTAGAAATGACTAGCAATTTTATAATTTTTGCAATTTCAAGGAAAAAGCTAATGAACAGAAAATTACAGCATGGTGAATTTACCATCTATCACTTAGAAATAGTTGTATTTTCTACAACTTGAGCATGGTTCCAGTCACAAAATAATGTTTCTAGTAATACTGCATATGTTGAAGTAATGGAAATCCTACCCACTAAATATTTAATAAAAATATGAAATAAAAAATCCACAGCAAAAAATGAAAATTTTCTCTATAATTAACTCACCATACAATTTGGTTTGGATGATAACAAGTTCCTTTCCCACAAGAGTCAAATACTGCCTGGATTTTGGGCTTCTCACACTTATCTTCTTGGACTATACAAATGTACCCTGCATTTTCATTCTGTACAACAATAATTGCCAGATTTCCAGATGGATAGCTGTACATGTAGCTAAGGTTTTTCCCCCTACTCTCTTACTTGTTAGACATGCTAGCTCAGATGTATGAATGGTATAGTAAATTTCTGACTGTAGGGAAGGAGGGGAATCTTGGTTAACATCCCTTTTTCACATATGTTACCTGCAGTTCTTGAATTCATTCCTTGGTTCTATTTTACTGATGTAGTATGAATCTTCCCTGTCTAGACAAGCAACAAATAATCTTAAACAGAATAGATTTATCTACCTTAGAAGTAGAACTTTTATTATTGTTTTGTACCAATATCAAAACTCCCTAATTTTGCAGTGGTACAGCAGTATGGATAATAGTACACAAGGAAAATGACTACTTCACCAGGGTGTATCTCACTTATAAAACAATACAGTACTTTGTATGTCTAGAAATCCAAGTTTGCCAACATTTTGATTACAAAATAAAAAGTGGAACCATTTCCCAGCTTGATTCAAGGGGCTGATCTTGGTCTTGTAAATCACTTAAGGCAGGGGTGTCAAACTGGTGATGCGCATCAGCTCCATGAATGGGAAAAAAGTTGCAAAACATCACATGATGGGAATGTGACATGGCAAGTTTGACACCCATGACTTAAGGGTACAAGACACAGGTAGTTCTCAATTTATGACTGGTCACTTAGCAATCACTTGAAATTATGACAGGCCCAGAATGGGTGTTTTATAGCCTGTAAAGCATTTCTGGACTTTGTAAAAACTCACATTCCTTCCCTTGATCATGTGACTGCATTTTGAGCACTTGGCAATTGCTCACCCGCCCAATCGATTGCAGCATCCTATGGTCAGGTGACTGATTTGTTTTTTTGCTGATTTCTGGTAAAAAAACCACTCATTTGAAACAATGGGCTTGCGCTTATGACTGCAGTGTTTGCCTAAAAATCCCAGATTTGCTTAACCATTGCAGTAATTTGCTTAGCAACCATCATAATATTGTAAAAGTAGATACAATCACATGGGTGCCTTATCTTATGACTGAAGTGATTTACGACCAAAAATCTCATCCCCATTGTGATTGTAAGTTAAGGACTAACTGCTGCAGAATGGTAATATTACAGGAGACCCAGCCCAGCCTTTCTCAGCTTGTCCTCTCCCCATTTGGATGGATGAAGATCCACAACCAGACTTTCAGCCATGTTACTTGGGGAATTCTGGGTGACGAAGTCAACTAAAGCTGAATGGCTCCAATGATGAAAAAGGCTACTTCAATGCATTCTACTGCCTAAATCATCTAATAGGCTTTGGTAAAACACAGTGCAAAAATGGAAAAAGTGTTTAAAAGTTGTATTAAGACCACTTTTAAATGCATTTCCATTTTTCAGCAGCAGGGAAGTTTATGATTAACTCTATGGAGGAGTGTTGGTGTATGTGTGTGTATATGTGGTATCTCTGTAACTGTCATCTGCATTTTTGTCAGGCAGAATCCGGGATTCCAGAAAGCATGTAGTTGTGAAAAAAAAAATTGGATGTGGGAGGGTTGCTTCTGTTTTGCTGAAAACAGTTAGCTCCCAACACTGGACTCTTATGGTATCAGAAATAGGACAACAGAGATAAGTAGGCAGACTTTGGTACTGGATTATTTTAGCCTGTGAAGTTGTAGTCTTGTATAGTCTTATCTCCAACCCCCAAGAAGGGATCCTATGCATGTTCTGCTTATGGTGCTATAACATTATTTTCTATCTTAGGCACTTTAAGATGTGAGGAGTTCATCTCTTAGAACACTAGGAGTTGGTTCACGTATCTTAAAAGATGCCAGGGATGAGAAGCATTACATTAGAGGTTTAATTGTTGTAGGTCAATGCATTTTAGACGTTCAAATCTTAACTGTGGTGACTGTTATATATTAAAGTGGCTATATTTTTAAAAATGTTACTACCAAGCATAGCAGGGACAGAACATTAGTTGTGTTTGTCATCCTGAAGACCTTAGTTGCAGATTATTTTGCTGCAGCCCACTAATTCTGATCAAGTTCAACTGAACAAAAGGATACAATATTTGTGCAGTGCCGTCGGGAAACATGGTAAGGAACTTCACACCATTTTTGTAGTACTGTTGTATGAATTGGTTTTGCATCAACTATTGATGAAAAAAAGAACAACATGCAGATTTAAGTTTCCCTATGGAACTCAAAAGAGAAAGGCAAGATACTGAAAGAGAGAACAATAAAGTTAATATACAAAATGGAGTTAATTAGAAATCTAGTTTATTTTTACCAAAGGGCCATGGTGCATTATATGCTTTGCTATAGATACATGTATGTTATTATGTAGAAAAAACAGATAAATCTGAGTATGGCAGCAACTAAATGACAAGCTTAAATCAAGAAAATGAGCAAAAGAGATACAGCTTTACACTAAAAATTCAATTTGCAGTCCTATTTTTGTCTGCAGTGACCAGCAACGTCAGTCTGACTCCCAAGCACATTGATACCATAAAGATACCATAAAGATTGGGAGGTATACCACTTTAATTTGGGAGGAGAGAAAATGAGTGGGGCCCATAACAAATAAAGCTTTTTTGGGGGGGCTTGTACTTTAGGCAAAGTATTCTGAATTACAATTCCCATTTGAAATGGATTGTTTTGGTTTCTTATATTCAAAGGTTAGTTACACACCCATGTCCATGAAATGGGTTCGCCATTGCTCCAAGTGCTATTTGCATTCATTAATTCCTGGGCAAATCCTGTTTTTTAAAGATTGTAATATCAATGTCATAAAAAGAAACTATTGACTATATAGTGAAAATAATGCTACATTTACTTCATCTTTAAAATTCAAATTAAGTGATCCTAGCCTTTCCTTGGTATTAATCCCACATCTAATTGACATGGATACATTAAGCACATTGCTTTGAAAGTTTAGCCCTCAGCTCTAAAAAAAAGTTGCATATTTTTATGCTGGAGATGTAAAATTCAAAAATTACATTTCATTTCATTACATTTACAAATTCAAAAATGTTACATTTCATACATACAGATATTCTCTACTATTGCAATTCAAAGATTGCTTCTACTGTGTAAAATCATTTATTTACCTTTCCACCTGCAATAGTGAAATCACAGCAAGAGATGCTGTATGTATTGTCCAGAATCTCTGTTTCTTTAATTACTTGTGGATAAATTATTGCTGTAGGTGTCTCTTGAGATAGGAAGAAGGAAATTGTTTTAAGCTGTTTATTGTCTACAAAATAAAATATTAAACAAGAATTAAGTGGTGATCTTTGACTTAAAAGGAACAAGCAAACTTACTTTGTTGGATTTTTAGTGATCAGCTATCAACATGTAAGATTGTACCTAAGGTATTGTTAGTGGAAAAAATATAAGTGGCATTTTTCTTGTATAGTTGTATTGTTTTGTTTAATTGTCACAAGTCTGGATGAAGTTGACAACATATACATCCAATAAATAATACAAAGTGGTATTGGCTAGTCTGGAAGTGCTGATATCACCATACATTCGATAAATTTTGCCATCAGAATTCAAATATTGGATCTGATAACTTTACAGTAAGAGATTCATACTATTAGAGGAAACTATTTTTAATTTGACTGGATATTTATTAAAATCCTGTCCTTCAGTAGGAAGATAGAGACTTGCTTTCAAAACAAAACAATTTAATCAAACCAAGCACTTCAAAATTATAGCAAACTATTGCGACATGTAATCAAAATGAGAATTAAAATTTAAAGATAAAGCAACAGTAAAACTAATAAAGCACCCATTTATATATGTTAACAAGGGGATACTGGTTTAGAAACAAGGGGTCATGAAGTCCAGTATCTTACATAAAGAAAAACCAAGAGGCTTCAAGCAAAATTCCAGGAATAACAGAACAGCCCTAATTCTTTGGTGCTGTTGCTATCTCAGCAATTGCTGAAAATGGCATCATCAAAATTAATAGTTAGTGATATCACCCAGGTTTTCTCTTTTAAAGACATCTGTAGTAGGGTTATGATTCCATTTAACAATGAAACCAAATATCCAAAAATGTGAACATCCTTCACTGGATGAATTCAAGCAGAGACTTGGCAGCTATCTAGAATACTTTAATTTGTATCCCAAAACAAAGCAGATGATTGGATTATAAATGGCTCCTTTCAATTCCTTTGATTAGACAATCTTCTAGTTCAGTGACCCCCCAAAAACGTTTGGGCACCATGGACCGATTCTGTGAAGACAGGTTTTTCAGTGAACTGGAGGGGACGTGGTTTCATGTGCTGCCTGCATCCTGGGGATGGGGCTTTGCTTGTTTGCATGGCCCGGTTTCTGTCATTCCTCAGATTGGTGCCGGTGCCATGGACCGGAGCTTAGGGGCCCCTGTTCTAATCTACTGTTAATTTTGTAGATGGAAATTGTTGGAGAACATGCTACAGATAAATGTTTCCTTTGTGTAAAATTGAAAACAATTGTTCTCATTTTCTATACACACACAATTATTTTCTCGTTGCATTATAAGCAAAGTTGTGCTGAAACTCGGAGATCCATATGGCTCCCATCCTGAAGCAGTTCTAGAAGGCCTTAAAGATCTGCCTACAGGTAGTCTTCCACTTACAACCGTTCATTTAGTGACCAAAGTTACAACAGCACTGAAAAAAGTGAGTTGTCACCATTTTTCCACACAACTGTTGCAGTATCCCCAGGGTCCCATGATCAAAATTGAGACACTTGGCAGCTGCCATGTATTCATGACAGTTGCAGTGTCCTGGGGTCATGTGATCATCTTTTGCAACCTTCTAACAAGCAAAGTCGATGGGGAAGCCAGATTCACTTAACAAGTGTGTTACTAACTTAACAACAGCAGTGATTTACTTAACAACTGTGACAAGAAAGGTCATAAAATGGTGCAAAACTCCCTTAACGGTCTTACTTAGGAACAGAAATTTTGGGCTCAATTGTGGCCGTAAGTTAAGGATTAGCTGTATTTACCCAGGCCTTGGAAGTAGGGGGAATGATCCTCCCCTGGAGTTTTCTGCTTGCTATATTGTTGGGATAATTTTGTGATTATTTTGCATTTCTGGTAGTTCTTTTTTTATATTTTGCTGTTTCCATTTTTTTTTAAATTACTGTGATCTGCCCATATTTGGGGGTCATCAGATCAAACAAAATTAATAGATTCGTGAGAGCCAATATGCTGCAGTGATTAAGGTAGTGGGCTAGTATAGAGGAATTTAGGTTCCAGGCCACCATCAGCTTTGGAACTGAGTAACTTTAAGCCAAAGTTTTGATATGCATTTGGTTGATTCTTCTTTATGAGTGAATATGGGATAAGAATCATTCTTCCTTCTGTGCATAGTAACACAAACATAAATAACAGTGGAATAATCCAACTTACAGTCAGGGATGTGTATTGGAAATGCACTCCTTTCTGCTTCTACTGCCATAAAGGCAATTTGTTTTGCCATTTGTCTCTCTTTGAGCCTGCAATATTAAAATATGCTGGGTGTCAACTTTTTTTAAAAAAAATCTATTTGTTACAGTTTTCTGTCCCCTACTCAAACAACTCTAGGCAACTTATAACCAGCATACATTAAAACATCCAGAACATCAAATTAACAGCTTTAAAAGTACCTGTTGTGATCATCTATTATTATTTTTTCCCTAAATGCCTTCTGGAAGGGAATGGTTTTAACCTGCTTCTAAAAGGGACCAGCTTAACCTCAGTAAGACAAGTGGTTACAATGTGAGTGGGTTGTCAGTGAGAAAGCCATATTTCAGGTTCCTGCGCCAACTCCCCATCTCTGTAGGGCTATGCACCCATGGCAAGATTATACTGTAGGTAGTGAGATTGAACCCATAGAGTTTTTATGAGTTACAACCTGCAATTTGATTTGGGCCAAAATGCCTGCTGCGAGCCACTTCAGTTCTTGAACAGAAATTATGTTACTAAGTTGGTTAGTGCTGTTCAGAAGGCATTGCATTTTGTGCCAACTGCAGCACCCCCTAATTCAGGAACAGATTGGCAAGTTTGATGAAACTAGATCAAAACTTTATTGGGTGTGATTTCTACTCAATATTCCACAGAATCTGTGAGAACTAGGAGAACCCCAAAATTGCAGGTCAACATGGAGCAATATATGGAACTGTAGGATTTCAGCATCAATAGTAACACTATCTTGCTAGAATTAAATTTTGTTCTGTTTTGCACATCTCAGCCTGGATCAGGACTCTCTGCTGCTGTTCCTGCTGAGCCTGAGTTCAAAATACAAATCTTGCTATGGTATCATCAGGATATTAGACCCTATGTTGGTATAAAGAAAAAAAACTGAATTTTGCAATATCCGATCCAGGAGTGGCCAAAGACTTCATGTCTTCTTCCCCAGCAATGCTCTAACAGCTCTAAATGCTCTTTAGCTCTTCTCATAACTATGTCTAGAAAAAATAAGCTCTTCTACTTTTTCTTTTTCCCCTAACATCTTTTAACAACCCTGATCATTAGAGTTTCACTATATGCGTAAGACTGATGAAGCATTAATTAATTAGAACAGTTCTTCTGCATTGGTAATACCTATATAAGCCCAAGAATAGGGACTCGTAGGTAAGTTAAAGATGTTAATGATAAGACTACTCATGTACATTCCTCCAAAGTGTCTTTACTGGATTATGTGACCTCCCTCTCAAGGAGGAGATATGGTTAAAGTTTCTTAGATGTGCATCCTAAAAGTGACAAATTGCAGGATCCCAAGGTCTATATCTTGTATTAAGCTAGAGAGTCATCTTCCTTTTAGGTAACTTTTGGAGAGCTCATTTAAACTTCAGGGAGAGAAATTAGAAATTTTCTTCCTCTAAGACTTCCTTAACTCATGGTAGAATACAATCCAATGTAGGTGGTACATTTCCTTCCTACTTCCTTTCTTGCTGCACTGTAAGTGATAGTTTAAAGTGGTCTGTTTTGTGCGATATAATAGCTAGCTAATTTTAAGCTGCATACTGTATAGCAGGGATGTCAATCACGGTAGCATCACATGATGTGTGAGGGCTTTTTTCCCCTTCACTAAACCGGGTATGGCAGCATGTGATGCATACGGCCCGTGGGCCAGGAGTTTGACAGCCGTGCTCTATAGATTGCACTCCCAAAAGTAATGGGCGAGACTAGAACAAAAATAAACTTTGATTTCATTTAAATTAAAATTAAACAGAGTTATTAGTCTTCAGCTGTGTAATTAGTAATTTTCCTTCTGTCACACTGTACATTCAATTTGGTATCAACTTCTAGAGATCTCTGCAGGAAGGATGAAGAACTTTCAGAGGTGCAGGTAGTTCTGAGGTACCAGATTTCAGTGTTCCCCCAAGCCCTCTTAAGGACTCAAATATGTATCACCCCAGTTTGCCATACCTTTGTCGAGCTCTTTCTTTTGCCCGTTCTCGCTCAGCTTGACTTCCATGGGCCTTATGAGGGGCAACATCAATCTTCTCCATTTTCTTTTGATAGCGATTTTTTTCACTGACAATGAACTCATGAAGCTCCCGGCATTGCTGGCAACAGAAAAACTGGAAAGCGAGATCCTGCTCTTACCAGCTGGACAGGTGAACCTTGGACCCAATGGAAAACCACGTGGTGAAATTGCTCTCATTACTTACATTTCCCCATTCTGCTATGTGTTCCAGACTTTCAAATGAAGGGAAGTATTTTATGGGGCTTCCACAGAATTCACAGGTTTCTAGGGTTTCCTTCGGAACCTGCAGAGAAGAAGGGGGGGGGGGGGTTTGGAAAGTTTTACAACAGTTATCTAGACAAAAATTATAGGATTTATAGCCTGGGTTTCTATTTTCTCATTGCGATCCAATTATCAATAGAGGGCACAATTATACAGACTAGAACAGTCTCCCCTAAAATACTCCATTCTGGCT